ACACACACACACACACACACACACACACACACACACACAATAAAGGTAGTACATACCTGTATGACATCTTCTAAAGACCAAAGTTGTTATTTACCTCCAGGGATCCAATAGCTGCTGCTAGATTACTGAGTCAGGGAAATGAACTGAAGCCTTCTTGGCTAGTTCAGATGTCCAGTGACATCCAATTTGTGAATGAATCAACTTATTTTGAGTCACATCATTTCACTGAATCAGCTGATTTGTGAATCTGATTTGTTCATAATCCAGTTCTTGAGTTCTCAATGACTCAATAATGGGTCTTCGCACTTAACTTAAATGTTGGTCTCTTTCTCACATAAAGCTTCAGCATATTCATATTCATATACTTATTTTTTTTTAACACAAACTAAAAGTACATATTCAGTAATTGAATTAAAGCTGAAATAAATTAAAATATACATACAGTATTAGTTGAAAAACGTCAATTTAAAAAAAATTTGTTTTGGCAACTAACTGAAATAAGTTTAAGTACTAAAATTACTAAAACTGAATCAAAGCTAAATAGAAATATAAAAAACAACAAACAAACTACTAAAATGTAAAATTAAAATGAAAGCTGAAAATATAAAAACATAGCTAATTCAAAATATGAATAAATACTAATATATAAATAATACTAAAATAAAACTTTTGCATTCCAATGAATATATATATCATATGGCATATGGTTTGGAACATCATAAATGTGAGTAAATTATGACATTTTTTTTATTCCCTTTAACTCTTAGTGTAAATATGCTGATGTAATAACAACAACAACAACTACTACAAAAAAAAATAAATACATCTGTGTATTGTGGTGAACAGGTGATAAGGTCATTCCAGTCTCGGTCGCTCAGTGTGGAGAATGCCGGTTCTGCAAGAGTCCAAAAACAAACGTGTGTGACCGCAACTGGTGAGAAATACAAACAACACAACTTTTCACATATTTCATTCATCCTTCTGTTTTTGAAACCTTAACGTTACAAAAAAAATGTCTTTTTTTTTTGTCAGGATAAATTATCACGTGGATTTGATGTCGTATCCCACAACACGTTTCACTTGCCGTGGTCGGCCCATCCTGCAGTTCACAAACACCGGTACCTTCTCTGAATACATCGTCATCAACCGGATTTATGTGGTCAAGATTCAGGATGATGCCCCACTCGACCGCGTGTGTCTGCTCGGCTGCGGCATCTCTACCGGTTATGGAGCTGCTGTCAACACAGCTGGGGTGTGTATAGATGCTCAAGAAGCATTTGGACACTTGCTTTGCGTATTTTTGCTCTGTCAACGAAAACAGTTCCAAACAAGTCTCTGAGAAACACACATTAGAGATGTGTTCATTAATGAATCAACGATTCAGATCTGTGAAATGATTCAAAGACTCATAGACCACACCTAAATATGACTACTTCCTACATACTAGCAAATAGTAATGCAAACTAAATAGTAACTAAACTAATATGAACTAAACAGTATGCAAAAAGCTGTAAATGAAATGAGAAATATGTAAAATGTACAGTTTTCACCTGCTGCTTCTAACGAGATTCTAAATTGCCCGTCTGGTGTGATGTTTCTATGTCGCATTACAGAAAAAATAATAATAAACAAATTTGTCAACAATAACCAATACTGTGTGGTTACTAAAGATTTTCAAAACCTTCTTGTAATTGCACTATTCAAGCTTTTTATATTTCGACAAAATGATATTGTCACCTGGTGCCCGAGGTTAGTACTGCATGCAAATGATTGAAGAGCATATGTTGCGACTATAATTTTTTATGGAGAAAAAAATAAGACAAAAAGTGCAGATGTCACTTATTGAAGGAAATTAATACATTTTTAATAGTGAGTTTACACTTTAGTTTACAACTTAAGAGTTCAAATAGCTGTGGCTTGAACAGTAAGGTGAATATTAAGGTGCGTTAGTAATTCATTTGTTTGTGTGAAGGTCACACCAGGCTCAGTGTGTGCAGTGTTTGGACTGGGTGCAGTAGGTCTGGCTGCAGTCATGGGCTGTAAAAACGCCGGAGCCTCCCGCATCTTTGCTGTGGATATTAATGAGCAGAAGTTTGAGAAGGCAAAGGTCTTCGGTGCCACTGATTTTCTGAATCCAAAGGCATATAATAAACCCATCTCTGAAGTACTGGCAGAACTTACCAGTGGAGGAGTGGATTTCTCACTCGAGTGTGTGGGCAACACTGAAGTATCGGTAAGCCTCAACTGACACGTATATAGAAAGTGCATGTATTTACTTGCTTGTTTAAAAGCTTTCAGTGCTTGCAATTCTTCTGTGTGTGTTTAATGTTTTTTGACCTCAGAGAGCTGCACTGGAGTCGTGTATTAAAGGTTGGGGTGTGAGTGTTTTGGTTGGCTATACTGATGTAGACTTTTCAGCACGGCCAATTCAACTCATATCTGGGAAAACCTGGAAGGGAACCCTATTAGGAGGTAAACCAGCTGTCAGTTAATGCTTTCTATGGCTTTGAGAGTACATGTCTGTGCATGTATTCATTTTTGTTTATGTGAAAAAGGTTTTAAGATCAAGGACTCTCTTCCAAAACTGGTTAATGACTACATGACTGGCAAAATAATGCTTGACGAGTTCATAACCCACAAAATGGATCTGGAGCAGATCAATGATGCCATCAATCTCATGAAAACTGGACAATGGTACATTTCTCACTTTGTTATCTCAGGTTAATCTTATAAGAAAAAAGTTCTAACTTTTTTCCTATCTTACAGCATTCGATGCATTCTGAATATATCCAAATGAGAATCAAGTCATCTCCAATCAACTTCTACACCACAGTTTGAGACAACCGGATGGGAACATACTGCTCAGACGTAACACTAGTTTAAAGTACTGTAACTATTTCTGAAAGTTGTAGAAAGAACTGAAGTGATGGAATTAATCAACTGCCTGGCTAAAAATTAGTTTGTTTCACCAAAAAGCAACAATAATTCGATACAGATGAATCTCTTGGATGATCTTATCAGCTGCTTTCATAAGTCATTGTTTAAATTTCATTCCTTTGTAATGATTGACTGATGTTTGGCATTTGTTGTACACAAAAAAAAATAATAATAAAGGAGAAAATATACTTTAATTCAGCTTGAATACTGAAACGCTGAAACTGATTTCAAGAGATGTGTCAAACAGACAAGGAGGCCTGCAACTGCTTTTCAGACTTTCACATTGCTCTTTAAGTGGTATTAAACAACCAAAGACAAACAAAAATCATCTTTTCATTGACTAAGGATGACTGCAGTAAAAGGACATTTCAGAAAGGCCATCAAACAGGCGAAACATAATTAAACCATTGTACTTAACCTAATGTTTCCTAGATGTTCATTGACACAGTCACTCAAACAAGATCGATTTAATTGGACCTTATGAACGCTGGTAAAAGTTCATGAAAAACATTTGTACAATGTTCAATAACGTTACGAGGCACTCTTTCAGCTGTAAAGAGTTTTTATATATCAATCATGATTTGATAAGATTGGGAGAGACTCCAGTGTTTTATCACATACACTCATTGCATCTCGAACCCCAACAAAACAAACATGGTACATTGCAACGAGCCAGGCATACAAACACACTGAAACAGACCGAGACAGCGGACCTCACACAGCTGACGCGCTCTCTCAAACACACAAGTGCACACACGCAAAACCACTCACACAGATACCTCTGCCCTGAAGACAGAGTGTGGCGGCACTGTAACCAGGTTAAAGGCCAGTGCCTTTGAATTTACTCAGATCCAAGCTGATTAATGTGACTGTCAGGTGACACATTCAGAAGTTAACAAATCTCCATCTCCTGCCCAAATCCACTGTCATGGCCACGTGGCCAATCATCTCCTGCCCAACAGAGACCCACTGTGTGATTGGCTGATTGGTGAAATGGGGCGGAGCTGTTGTATCCTCCACTGCAGAATAGGGCTGATATGACCCCACCATTCTACATTTGGGACAGGAAGTGAGCACGGCCATTATCCTTGAGGCGGCGCGTGAGGATTTCACAGCCTGTCTCTGTCACGAGGAGCGTGTGCTCAAACTGGGCTGAGCGTTTACCGTCACGAGTGACTGCAGTCCAACCATCTGGCCACGTCTCATCCTGCCAGCCACCTGCACAGAGCAAAGACTCTTAAATAAGCAATTGATTACAATACTTAATCACATCAAAACTCACATTTCTATAGTTAATAGTATCAGTTAAAAAAAGAAAATAACAGTTTTTTTATTTGAATATATTTTCAAAAGTAATTTATTCCTGTGATGCCAAGCTGAATTTTCAGCATCATTACTCCAGTCCTCAGTGTCACATGATACTTCATAAATCATACTAATATGCTGATTTGCTGCTCAAGATACAATTATTCTCATTATCAATATTGAAAACAGTTGAGTGGCTTAATATTTTTGAGGAACCATTAGATGTTTTCTTTTCAGGACTCTTCAATGAATATAAAGTTCAAAAGAATATTTATTTGAAATTGAAATTCTGATCAATTTAATGGGTCTTTGCTAAATACGAGTAATGATTTCTTACAAAATAAAAATCTTACTGACCCCAAAGCTTTAAGGGGTAGTGTAAATGAATCAACCAATCACATGTTTGAATGCATTAACTTTGACAGCCCTATTTAAAAATAAAACAATTTTTTTTCTAAAAGAAAAAAATTCTAAACAATAAAGTGCACAATTTGGATAGATAAGAAAATTATTTTGTGATTTGTCTCTAACCTTCGCAGATCATGGGCTCAATAGTAAATACATGACCAGGTTTCATCACTCCTACTGCTTTATTCTCTGTAGAAATACATAAAACAAGGACAGTTCAAGCTTTATGAGTGTTTGCACTCTCTGCAGTTTCGATTACATCATAGTGTGCAATGCTTGTATCATTCAGACTGTCTTTTTGACAAAATGTTACTCACTGGCATAGTGCGGTACGTTTGGTGCTGTGTGGAACAGTTTGTGAATGCCGTGGCCACAGTAGCTCCGTACCACAGAGAAACCATTAGCCTGCGCGTGTTTCTGGATGATGTTTCCCAGCTCACGATAACGGATACCAGGCTTCACTAGACACAAGACAGAAACAAGTTTCTTCAGACCACAACACAGACATCCCTCTGTGCAAGTCTGCCCTCTAAAGGTCATTAATGCACATCACATCAGAAAAACATACTGTACTATATCATGTAGGCCAAATGTCAAACTCGCATAACATAGGGTCTGTTGAATTGCTATTGTTGATTGCATGTGCTTTCATACTCACCAGAATCGATGGCTTGCATAAGACATTCATAAGTGGTCTGAACCAATCTCTTGGCTCCCTCATCCACTTCACCCACAAAAAAGGTTTCATTCAAATCTCCATGGTAACCATTGTGGTAAACTGTTATGTCGACTGCAAGAAAAAAAGTAACATATGATTGGCCAAGTGAACATGTAACATTTAGTGCAATTTACCTTAAGACTGAAGATTTTTTTTCTGCATATGTTACACAGAACTCTGTAGAAAACTACACAAACTGACACAAAATTATATGATTATGCTTTCAGCTACTATTATGAGCAAAGTACTCTGCATTTAACAGAAATCCATTCCACAGCCTTTCACACTCTGTGCAAAGAAAGCAAAAAAAAAAAAAAAAGCTGCAGATTCCATCTGGCTCTGGATACTGCCTTCAGCGTGAGGTCTGTTCAGTGTAAATTTGGCATTAAATGTACATAGAAGCAGTTCTCTGTGCTGTAGCCTATGATATTTAAATTAAGGTGATCAATGACAAAACATGTGGCTAGGAATAAAGAGATCTACATGTCACTGGTCATTTGTTTAGTTTACTTATCTAGTATGGCATTAACAAGAATGAACAGCTTTAATAATATGGCATTTTGACAATGGGACTTAAAATGAGCAGAAGGAAAAAACATCAGTCTGGACAGAGTTCTGCAAGAACAAGCCAATGCATTCACAGAAATGTGAACATGTGGAAAATCAGTCACGCACAAATCTCGAATGTCCACTGAATGTTTATCTGACATTTGGACTAACTGAAATATTAAATACAATGTCAATTTAGAGGGAGGGTGATTCTATCCCTTTAAAACAGCCCTCTTGGGTGCAAAAATCAGATCTCCCATAAAGTAAAGCCAGGAAGATGCATTCATATATTATATGTTCACATGTATGCTAATACATACTATTCAGTATGTCCTCCTCCTGGAGGGGACGGCAGTCAGGGATCCCATGACAGATGATTTCATTGACAGAGGTGCAGCAGGACTTGGGAAAGTTGTAGTAGTTCAGAGGTGAGGGATAGCAGTTCCTCGCTGTGCATGCCTTAACCAACAAATATGGACAAATCGTTTGGCATTAGCATCAACATTCATACAGGCTGTCCTACTCAAATGACAACGACAGTAGAATTCACAATAAAAAAAAAATTCACGTGTTTATTATACATATTGTCAAAAATAGCTGTCAAACAGCTGTAAAAAAATTATGCATTTTTTCCAGAAGGAAACTCAAGCATGAAGCATGACATTTACAGCAGTGGTTCTCAACCAGGGGTCCAACTAGGAGGCCTCGGCAAACTTCCAAAAGGACCCCCAAGATGTCTTAAAATGATTTAAATTTAGTTATATTAACAATCTTAATACAAAACAACGTAAAACAAAAATAACAAACTGGCAACGTATTTCTGAGTTTTTCATTTTTACTATAACAAAAGCACCAAATGTACAGCTTAAATAGCAGGGCCTCTTGGACAAAGTGGGCCTTGGAGTCAAAGCGAATCACTGATTTAGAACAAATAAAAATAAAAAAAAGTCATGTGAATGCATAAGCAATTTCACATTTCCCTTAGATAACCTGTATTTAAAGGGGTCATATGATGCGATTTCAAGTTTTCCTTTCTCTTTGGAGTGTTACAAGCTGTTCGTGAATAGATAAGATCCCTGAAGTTGCAAAGACTAAAGTCTCAAAACCAAAGAGATATTCTTTATCAAAGTTTAGACTCTGCCACGCCCCCACATATCTACCTCACTATGTGGAAATATTAGCATAATGTGCATGCGCGTGTGTGTGAGAGAAAGAGAGAGAGAGCGAGAGGGTCACATCACATTGGAGGCAGCTGTCTTAACCGTGGCTTGTGTACTGTGCAAACACATACCAGCTTCATCACTGTGTCTGTCACGCGACTCTGTTCCCCTTTCGCATAGAGGGCCTACCATAATGTACAGAATTTGGACAATAATGTGTTTTTTTAACATTAAAGCATGTCAACATATTCTGTTACACCAAATACACAAAATAATGATCCTTAAAAAAGCATCATATGACCCCTTTAAACATTCTGCTCTGATCAGACTACCACTTTGTAAAATTTAGATTAGAAAAAGAAAAAAGGCTGTGAATTTTTACCAAATGCACCGCATGGTCGATCTCCTCCGTCGTCACTCCAGGTTTCACCATCATGGCAGCAATGTCAAGGACTTCTCGAGCCAGCTGAAGGAAACAAACATTGTCTTTATTATTGAACAATTAAAATGTATTTTGTGTACTTGTGCTCATGATAGACTTGACAGCCTGCCATCCCACTAGACAATTTTTCAGCATATTTGCATACATTTTGTAAATTTATCTTGTGTAACCAAGTGGGGTTCTCTTAACTAAAATCTGAAATTAGTGGCAGAACAAACTGTGGCAGAACAACTGGCGTTTAAATAGAGGCAGAAAATGGCTTTCGCAACACTCAAAATTTCAACTGCTGCATTTCAGTTATTATTCTTTATACAAAGGTTATCATGTGTGAAGTTATGATGTTGGTTTACCTTGCAGACAACTCTCATGCCCTCAATCTCTTCAGCATCGAGGATCTTAATCTGAGACGTCCCTTTCATGGTCTGCTCTGACTCTGACATTCCTGCAAGCAGTGATGAATTGGTGAATTGGTGAGCAGTGAAATACACAGATACCCATCTACCCACAAAAGCATCTTACTATCACTCAAATATATGCACTAGCTCTGCCTACTGACCTTCACCACAACAGAATCTCAACAGCACGGTCTCCAGTCAGCTAATGAAGACAACACAACCACTTCTTACAGATAAAAACACACACGCACACACATGGTCGCTGATCCAGTGAGGTCTGGGACATGACAGTTTGGCAATGACGTAATCACGGACAGTTCCTGCTAGGGCTGGGCGATATGACTCTATATATCGTGTGGCAGTGAAGATAGAGATTTTATATACTGTACCGATCAAAGGCTTGGAATAATTATGATTTTTTTTTATGTCATTGAAATAATACTCATACCCTCATCATAAGAGACTTATTGTCTATGATATTATAAAAAGTAATTTATTCCTGAGCTAAATTTTCAGGTATCATTACTCCAGTCTTCAGTGTCACATGATACTTCAGAAATCATACTAATATGCCGATTTGCTTCTTAAGTAACATTTCTTATTATTAGCAATGTTGAAAACAGTTGTTGCTGCTTAATATTTTTGTGGAAAACATCATGCACTACCACTGAAAAATTTGAGGTAAAATTAAGAAATTAATACTTTTATTTAGCAAGGATGCTAAATTTGTCACGGTTTCCTTAAAATTATAAGGCAAGGCAAGTTTATTTATATAGCACATTTCATACACAATGGTAATTCAAAGTGCTTTACATAAAAGGAGGTAAAATAAAAAAAAATTAAAATCACAACAATAAAACAGGGAACTTAAACTTTTTAAATGATTTAGAAATTGAATTTAAATGAATTTAAAACAGTTAAAAATAGAAAATGAGTATACATAAAATACAGTGCAATCAGTTCTGACGTAGCACAGTGCTCATTCAATAAATGCACAGCTAGACAGATGAGTTTTGAGTCTGAACTAAAAGCAGATTCCCCTTGTTTTGTGTGAACCCTTGGTATTTCTAACTGACTCGATCCTAATGATCTGAGTGGTTTGTTAGGTTTATATTCAGTGAACATATCTGCTATGTATTTAGGTCCTATGCCATTGAGTGATTTATAAACGAGTAAAAGTACTTTAAAATCAATCCTAAAAGTAAGTGGAAGCCAGTGTAAAGACCAGTGTATAAGGCGGCACTACTATTTTAAATATTGATAATAAACTGAGCAGCAAATCAGTAAATTAGAATGATTTCTGAAGGATCACGTGACACTGAAGACTGGAGTAATGATGCTGAAAATGTAGCTTTGCAATCACAGTAATGAATTACATTTTAAATACATTCAAACAGAAAACAGCTATTTTAAATGGTTATAATAATATTTAACAATATTGCGGTTTTTTTTTTTATTACTGTATTTAATAAATGCAGCCTTGGTAAGCATTCAGAAACATCAAAATATCTTAATTATTCCAGTCTTTTGACTTTTGACCATTGCACCGAGGTGGATACATTTGATTGCTGTCAATTGCCACAACTGCTTTATTTACATTGAAAGCAACAAAGGAGTTCAGAGTAATGCAAAAAGACAGAGCAGGATGTAGGGGTGTGCGATATATATTATCTGCGATATCTTAATTGTTGTTTTAGTGAGGTCTGGGACATGACAGTTTGGCAATGACGTAATCACGGACAGTTCCTGCTAGGGCTGGGCGATATGACTCTATATATCGTGTGGCAGTGAAGATAGAGATTTTATATACTGTACCGATCAAAGGCTTGGAATAATTATGATTTTTTTTTATGTCATTGAAATAATACTCATACCCTCATCATAAGAGACTTATTGTCTATGATATTATAAAAAGTAATTTATTCCTGAGCTAAATTTTCAGGTATCATTACTCCAGTCTTCAGTGTCACATGATACTTCAGAAATCATACTAATATGCCGATTTGCTTCTTAAGTAACATTTCTTATTATTAGCAATGTTGAAAACAGTTGTTGCTGCTTAATATTTTTGTGGAAAACATCATGCACTACCACTGAAAAATTTGAGGTAAAATTAAGAAATTAATACTTTTATTTAGCAAGGATGCTAAATTTGTCACGGTTTCCTTAAAATTATAAGGCAAGGCAAGTTTATTTATATAGCACATTTCATACACAATGGTAATTCAAAGTGCTTTACATAAAAGGAGGTAAAATAAAAAAAAATTAAAATCACAACAATAAAACAGGGAACTTAAACTTTTTAAATGATTTAGAAATTGAATTTAAATGAATTTAAAACAGTTAAAAATAGAAAATGAGTATACATAAAATACAGTGCAATCAGTTCTGACGTAGCACAGTGCTCATTCAATAAATGCACAGCTAGACAGATGAGTTTTGAGTCTGCATTTAAATGTGGCTAATGTTTTAGCATATCTGATCTCTTCTGGAAGCTGATTTCAACTGTGGGCGGCATAATAGCAGACTCCCCTTGTTTTGTGTGAACCCTTGGTATTTCTAACTGACTCGATCCTAATGATCTGAGTGGTCTGTTAGGTTTATATTCAGTGAACATATCTGCTATGTATTTAGGTCCTATGCCATTGAGTGATTTATAAACGAGTAAAAGTACTTTAAAATCAATCCTAAAAGTAAGTGGAAGCCAGTGTAAAGACCAGTGTATAAGGCGGCACTACTATTTTAAATATTGATAATAAACTGAGCAGCAAATCAGTAAATTAGAATGATTTCTGAAGGATCACGTGACACTGAAGACTGGAGTAATGATGCTGAAAATGTAGCTTTGCAATCACAGTAATGAATTACATTTTAAATACATTCAAACAGAAAACAGCTATTTTAAATGGTTATAATAATATTTAACAATATTTTTTTTTTTTTTTTTATTACTGTATTTAATAAATGCAGCCTTGGTAAGCATTCAGAAACATCAAAATTTATTAATTATTCCAGTCTTTTGACTTTTGACCATTGCACCGAGGTGGATACATTTGATTGCTGTCAATTGCCATTTATTTATTATTTACATTGAAAGCAACAAAGGAGTTCAGAGTAATGCAAAAAGACAGAGCAGGATGTTGCGATATATGATATATATTATCTGCGATATCTTAATTGTTGTTTTAATGATGTGCGATTTGACATTGAGTATATTACAAAAACCAAACAAAACACATACTACAGAGTGCATGCATACGTGACGTGATAAAGTCTAGTAGGTTAGACTAGTGCGAGTGCGTTCTTTCACTGCGTGATTCAGTCTATTAAAATACATTTTGAATTAACACAAAATTCAAGATATTGATTTTATACAACAGTTCAATTAACAAGTTAATATTAAGAGACTTACGTTTTAGACACCATATTGCCTGTTTTTGCTCTATTTCGACAACAAAAATGATTCCAAACAGAACCAGAAGCACAGTCTCTAAACAACATGAAGTGTTTCGTTCCTGAATGAATCAACCGTTTAAAATGATTCGGTTCAATCGCAATGACTCACTTATTAACAGTGACTTGCTGCCACCTATTGGCGTTTTTAATTTCACATTTAAAGTATCTTTTCTTTCTTTCTTTTTTTATTCTTTTTTTAAAAATAATTTCAAATAGCAAAACATTATTTATGCATTTGGAACTGCAGGTTAAATCATTCCATGTCCCTCTGAGCTGCATTAAACAGTGTGTTAATACATCTAAATGCCACTTCAGATGCAGCTTCTGTGTTTCCTCTGCATTGCAAAGATCAATTTTGTTGATACTGATTTAATTTGCCTGGTAAAAGCCCAAAAGTCTTATTCTAACCGACTGATTAAATGTAAGAATTTGACTCAAAAGATGATCCACACTTTTAGAAAAAGAAAATGGCTTTATAAAGTTAAAAATGCCCATAAAAGGTAAAATCTATTTAAACTCATTGAAAAACATGAGCTACTTTCTATCACTGCTGTGAACTAACCACCACACAGAATATGGAGAATATCAAAAACATTAGGAGTCAGCTGTCCACGGTAGTCCTTAAGATGTCAGCACAATAACACACTCAGCAAAATATCGTCGAATTATAGTTATCGATAAAATTCCAGAAAATATCGAGATATCTTTTTGTGTCAATATCACACACCCCTAGCAGGATGTGCAAAAAATGAATAAATAAAAATAAGGGAAGTAACGCAAACCAAATTTAACCATTCTCCATTGAATTCCCAACAAAAAGAACTATTGATACAAATACAACAATGGTCATATCACCCACCTCTAGCCCCAGCTGATTTACGACATCAGCCATGCAGAAACAGACAGAGCCATGCTACTACATAGACACACACTCTTGCTCACAAAAATACACTCATACACCCACTGCGGAGCAAACCGCACCTCTGCAGCTGCAGAGAGCGAGAGAAGAGCTTCAGACACACACTGCAGCAGCCCACCCCCAACACACACACACGGAGGTAAATGGAAACGTGTATAAGGTGACTTCAGGACCATCACACACACGCTCTTACAAAGAAGTCCTAAAGATACGTACACACTCCTGACCTAACCATTGGATGCTTTTGAAGACATTAGGCTTTTTCAATAGTATAGTATATATTTATTTAATGCCATGTCAGCATCTAAGGCTATTTTCATGGCAAAAACAATTTAAAAAATACAAGTATAACAAATACAATAAAAACCAGCATACAAACAAACACAAGTTATATTACACAAGAGTTTTTACATTAACATATGATAACAATTCTAAAACTTTTTTCTGGCTTTTTCAATACATCACTTTTCTACTGTGTGAAAGCCGGGGCCCGGAGACTCAAGGATGAGCTAATAACAAAGGAATGAAAGGCTGTAACTACAGGAGCCTAATAGCAACTAATCACCACCATAATGGTTACTTACGGGAAGACTCTGCAGCATCCGTTAATGAAGGACAAATAAGCATTTATTCACAAAACAGTGATTCATGAGAGATGCTTCTATACTATAAGAAAGAAAAAAAGTGTTTGTGTAATCTCTCTTCTATACAAAGCCACGTATATTATCATTTGAAATATCCTTTACAGGGCCCCCAAAAGTATTCGGACACTTAAGTCACACAAACATCTATGCATTTCATTGCAATAAATATTACCTTCTCTAAGAGCTTCACATTTTTCACGGTTCACAGACACACAAGCAGAGTAACTAGCAGGTTATTGATAATCTGTCTTAAAAAAAAAAAAAGCCATTTATACACTAATGTTTAAAGTAGTCAGTAATATTTAAAAAAAAAAGTAATACTTTTATTCAATAAAGATGCATTAAATTAAAGTAAAAAGACATTTACAATATTAGAGAAGATTTTTGCGTCAAATAAATGGTGTTCTTTTGAACTTTCTATTCATCTATTAAAAAAAAGTATCACTGTTTCCACAAAACTATTAAGCATTACTGTTTTCAACATTGATCATAAGAATTGATTGAGTAGCAGATCATCATATTAGAATGATTTCTGAGGAATCATGTGACACTTAGGACTGAAGTAATGCCTGTTGAAAATTCAGCTTTGCATCACAGGAAAAAAACAATATTTTAACATATATTAAAATAAAAAATTTTCTCAACATGTAATAATATTTCACAATATTGCTGTTTTTATTTTTACTTCTTAAAAGGTTTGATTTGCTTGATTCAGACAAGGACCACAAAAACACTTTCACAAACAAATTACCAAACCTCCTCAAGTTTAACGTAGTCCTAATTAAATAGGAGGACTAGTGAAAGTCATACAGTAGGTGTGGTTTGTGTGTTCGTATACTTTCTAGGGCCAAATATGTAACATCATAAGAAACCTTTTAGTCAAGATGCGTATCCAACTAACCAAATAAATAAACTAAGATCAACTAAACTGAAACACACCATAAAGCATTTGGGCCTCCTTCATAATCTAATGATTATGAGAGCATTAATCTCCAAATAATAATGATGATAAAGATGTACCAACGAGATACCAAACAAAAAACAAAGTTAGAGTTTTCTGTAAACAGAGGTTATTCTTGCACATCTTGATGCACATTTCCATGAAACTGTGGTTGATCTGGTCAGACGTGTGCTACTGCAGCAAACACTCCTCCGTTTACAAATCGAACAGTACTTTAGCAAAACTTTAAACTTCACACAGGTGTAATAATGAACAGGGCAGTCTGTTAGAAAAGTGCAATGCCTCAGATAAAGGGCATGGAGCAAGAAAGCTAGTCCAGATGACAGAGGTTGATCTGAGTTTTGCAGTGCATAATTTACAGAATGAGGTCTAAATTATGTGTGAAGGGATTTGCAATCTTACCCAAAGGATGATCTGCATAGTCTGGTCTCTGGATGTTGCTAGGAACAAGCCGCATGGGAGTCTGAAAACAACCAAGAAAAAGAGATGAAACTAAATGTGTGAATGCAGAAACTTGTTTTGTTCTATGCAAATGTATGTGTGCTGTAATTATCATGCTCAGGTCAATGATCATGCGTCCTTACCAGTGGATAGTGGGGTCGCAGTTTACCAGTGTATCTGTACCCGGGCCACGGGTCTGTGTTGATTTCTTTCTCCACACAGTTCTTTCCCTCATCGTTTATTTTGTCCTCCTCTGCAAATGAAAAGCCAGATATTAATGATGGCATTATGCAAGACATGATTTGTATTCCACATACAAAATGCAGAACTAGGGATGTAAAGGTATGAAAATTTCTTATCACGGTTATAGTGACCAAAATTATCACGGTTATCCGTATTATCACGGTATTGTTCAAATGTGCTGGAGATGTTCAAAAAGTACAGACACACAAATCACTTCACCAAGTTTTATATTTAAAAATCAACAAACAACAAATAAAATGACTTTTTGTTTGCATAATCACTAAAACAATAACATTACCATGATTATTTAAACTTTATGTAAGTTATTTGTTATTTTATATTAGGCATAGCCTGTCTTATAGCATGGTGTATTTTTATTTGTTTTGTTAATAAAAGTTCTATGTTTCATATATAGGCTAAAGTGAGTTTGACGTTGTATTTTGTTGTTGCATTCAAGCAATTGACGCCGAATTGCCGCTAATTTGAAAGTGAAAGTAAAATGCGCATGGTGCTTTTAAGCTATTTAAAAGCGAAGGAAAGCAAGGAAAAGAGAGAAAATTCAAACGAACAATTGCTTTATGCCGAATTGCCGCTATTTGAAAGTGAAAGTAAAAGTAAAATGCGCACGCTGCTTTTGCAAGCTATTTATAGGCGAAGGAAAGCGAGGAAAAGAGGAAACGCCCCTGCCCCCACGGAGATACTGGTATTATCGGTGTTGTCACACGTCGATTAACCAGTGGGAAAATTTCCTCACCGTCACAACCCTATTACATGGAGCGAAGATGAAAACAAAATGCCATCTAATCGTTTCTGAAGACAGTCAGAACCTTCAGAGGTACATTCATATAATTAATTCATTCATATATTCATTTGTATAATTCTTTTAAAACCTCCCAGCTTTTCCGCCCTGTTTTCACTCAAAACGAAACTACTCTGCATGCTGTGCGCACGTGAGACTGTTACTTAAAACCGTGCTTTATGCTGGACAGTATTTATTTATCGCGAGTAGTTCAAATCGCGGTAATCTAATACGGTTTTAATGATAATTAAAAGATGAAACGGTAATACTAACCGTGGGGAATTTTATCATGGTTTATCGTCAAACCAGTAATCGTTACATCCCTATGCAGAACTGAACATCACTCAACATTGAGAGTGAATAAAACACACTACATACTTGCTTTTTTGTGGAGCAGTTTGTGGGTGGCCCAGCTGCCTTTGAAACATTCCTGAAAACATACAAAACTCAAGTTATTACTCACACAACGTCAATTCTTAAAGAGCCCATAAAATGTAATGTCTGTTAGCTTTGAGGCATTTATATGTTAGTGTACAAAATTACACTATTGTTCAAAAGCTTTTTGAATGAAACTATTACTTTGATGCAACAAGGATGCACTCAACTGAGACAAGAGGCAATAATTACATTAATAATGCTACAAAGATTTGTATTTCAAATAAACGCTGTTCTTTTGAACTTTCTATCATCAAAGAATCCTGAAAAGATAGCACAGTTTCTACACAAAAATATTAAGCAGCACAACCATTTTAACACTGATAATAATAAATGTTTTTGAGCAGCAAATCAGCATATTATAATGAAGGATCATGTTACACTGGAATAATGACTGCTGAAAATTTAGCTTTGTCATCACAGGAATAAATTATATTTGAACATATAATAAAAGAGAATAAAATAGTTATTTTTAATTATAATAACACTTCATTAATAACATTACTGTGTTTATTGTATTTTTGATCAAATAAATGCAGCCTTGGTGAGCATAAGAGACTTCTCCAAAAATATGAAAAACCCTTACCAACCTCAAACTTTTGAACATAGTGTATATTTTAGCATCTGTTAATAATACTTAATTTTTATTCATTAAAATTTAACACTCTTCCAAGAAACAGATCAAATATTTTGTTGACAAGTGATGATCTTGCAACAAATGCAAACATTCTACTTAACAATAAATAACCCATAAATCAAGGTTCACAATTGTAATGTAAACTAATGGTTATTGGTTATTTTACAAAAAAGACAGAAACCTTTTGATATGTCCTGCTCCAACTTCCTATTTAAATAGGAAGTCTATAAACATACTTGAAGCGTATACTTTAGCACAATTACAAGGAATTTCACATATAATACATCACAAACCTCTGCACCATTTTACGGTATCAGACGGATAGCTCGCTCAAATATAAAAATTCTCATGTATGACTTACTTTCATCTGTGGAACATAAAACGGGATATTCTCAAGAATGACGGGGGCCAAACTACATTGAACACAATTGACTTACAATTTATGAAATGTATGAAACATAGAAGTATTCCACAGAAGAGAGAAATTCATACAGGTTTAGAACTACATGAGGGTGAGTTACAGCGGCTCATCTAATTAGGGCGAAAGTTTGAATCAGATGGTCAAATCAGATATTGGGCTTGGCAGCACCCTGTCATCATATCAGCCTCTTAACTCAGCAAGCAGGACAGCAGATCTGCCCTGCAACAGGCGCTAGAGTCCAGGGAGGTGTCTCAAATGTAACAAGCTGTCTACCTAGACAGCATTTTTGAGCGTATGCCTAAAAAAAACCCATATGATGCCCAAAATGCTGTCCATGTAGACATTTCCATTTTTTGAGCACTTCTAGGTTTTCTCTCAAAGCCCAGTGAGCTGCCAACCTAGACAGCCGTTTTAACCATCACGGGCAAGTGACTCATAAAACACTTATGATGCCCACAATGCTGTCTAGATAGGTAGCTCACTAGGGTTTGAAAGCTCCACCCCAGCCTAGGAGTGCCTAGCAAAATCATACACGAGAATGAAAAGAGGTAGGTTTAGAGCTACATTTTCTTACAGGTTGCACCAATTTATGCATCCTTTGGTCCTAAATATTTAGAAATTGGAAATAAAATAAGTAAAAGGTTGATGTGATGATTTGACAACTGAGCAGCACGCGAGCCACGTTGAGCTGAAGTCATTTAAAGCATGCTGAGCAAAGAAACCGCTGGCAAATTACATTTCCACTCTGTGTTTAGGGTTAAACATTTCAGACAAATCTGTCATCTAGAAAATCATCACGCACAAAACTTTGATGTAAACGTCAAAGCTCAGAGTAAGGTTTAAAGTGCCTGTTTGTGATGTAAGGCAGCTAGCTAGCTAACGCTGAGCTCAGTCCCGTAACGTTAGGCCGGCAGCGTGACATGAGCGAGAAAGCCCGAGCGCTTCGCTTGATTCTTAAAGCAAAGTGTCAGAGCTTCACCTGAGAGCAAAAGTATGAGCCTTGAATTCCGAGTTTGATGCAGGTGGGACACTGGAGCTTAGCTTCGCTGTGACAGCCTTCCGTCTCGCACTCCCGTGTCTCCACCGCCGCCATGCTTCTGCTGCTGTCGGTCAGAGAGAGAGAGCGCTGCTGTCTGCTGCTGCAGTCATCTGAGAGCAGAGGGAGGGACTCCAACACCACCTTGTGAATCATGGCAGGATGGAGTATTTATTTATCTATCTATCTATTTAATTAAATATATATCTATTTAATTTAACAATAATCTACCTTATTGTAGCCACAATGATCGAACAGACGAAACTGGAAAGTTAGTTCGACTATTTCTTCTGGGCAAACGAAAATAGTTCCACAAGAAGCCAAAGCATCAAGGTAGTTACCAAGCAACGCAGAACGAAAGCCGGAGTGGAGCTCTGTATATAAGTGGAGCGGAGCGGCAGAGAAAGTTCTCCAAGAGTGTCTGTCGCTGAAAGCGCTCTGTAATCACGCCACCGTGGCTCCACTCCGGGTTTTTCACTTCCCACACACCATAGCGAGAGAGAAAACGCGTATGCGTACCTTCTCGGTACAGGTAGTTTTGAGAGAAACGAATCTTTCTGTATCAACTGAAGCAATTGTTTACCAAAAACATTTACTATTTCTAAGCGCTCGAAACACCACAGACTAGCGGCACCTGCTGGGGGGTATTCCAAAAAGCAGGTTATGTGACATACACTGGAGCTCCTCAGGGTTGTGTTCTCTCCCCACTGCTCTTCTCCTTGTACACCAACGATTGCACCTCTAAAGACCCCTCTGTCAAGCTCCTGAAGTTTGCAGACGACACCACACTCATCGGCCTCATTCAGGACGGTGACGAGTCTGCTTACAGTCAGGAGGTTAAAGAGCTGGCTGTCTGGTGCAGTCTCAACAACCTGGATCTCAACACGCTCAAAACTGTGGAGATGACCGTGGACTTCAGGAGAAACCCCCCTGCTCTCCCTCCGCTCACCATCATGGACAGCACTGTGACTGCAGTGGAGTCATTCAGATTCCTGGGCACCACTATCTCTCAGGACCTGAAGTGGGACACTCACATAGACTCCATTGTGAAAAAGGCCCAGCAGAGGTTGTACTTCCTTCGCCAGCTGAGGAAGTTCAACCTGTCACAGGAGCTGCTGAAACAGTTATACTCCGCCATCACTGAATCTGTCCTCTGCACTTCTATAACTGTCTGGTTCAGCTCAGCTACCAAATCTGACCTCAGAAGACTACAGAGGGTAGTCCGGACTGCTGAGC